TGCTCCTCTGGTTTCTATAGAGCGTAAACCATGTCTGAAGTTGTTGGGTGTAACTTTTCAATCTGATCCGTGTAACTGGGACTTACATTTTGATAATATTATATCGAAAGCCAGTAGTCGTCTGTACATCTTACGTGTTTGTAAATTCTATGGACTGCCGCTGGATCATCTTCATCTTCTCTTTATCAGTCTTATTCTACCTATATTTACATATGCTGTAGAAGTATGGGGCTGCGCGTATTATCATAAGTATCTGAGTCGCATAGACAGGCTGTTCAAGAGAGCTTTTAAGCTTGGCTACTGTAAAGAGCTTTTTTCGATTGAAAATATTATCATTCTAAAAGATAAGAAGTTGTGGGCCAAGATCACCGACAGCGATTTTCCAACAGCTTTAGATGACCTTTTGCCACCAGAGCGAACAATGAATACGCTACGTAAGAGGCGCCATAATTATATTCTCCCGCTTGTCAGAACTGAACGTTTCAAAAGGACCTTTATTAATAGATGTTTGTTCTCTTATTAGTTATTCAGTTAGTAATTTAGTTAGTTTATTAGTTTTATACTTGCTGATTTCATATCATTGTAACTAAACACGTTTGTTGTTTAGAGTGCTTAATAAAGACTTATTATTATTATTCATACACGTCACAACCATCAGCGGATGGAGTATATCAGAATTTAGGTCCCCAGTACATATTATAGTGTCACTAAACGATAAAGCTTCATCTAACAAGGTAGACAGTTCCTTAGAAAATATATATAGTATTGTCAACGGACGGTGGTTTATTGAGGAAATGTTCTGTTGTGATTGAAAAGAACATCGACAAAAAAGCTTGCAAATAGAATTAGTTACCAAATATGATAAAAAGAATGCTTAAAAGGAAAGTTTGGTAGGAGGGGGGGTTCAAATCCGCGAGGGGGGGTCCATATCCACTAGCGGATTTGGACCGGGGGAGTCCAAATCCGCGGGGGGTCCAAATCCGCTGTGACACCGGCCGCCATCTTGACATCTCATAAATCAACAACTGTGTTGAAAACGTGAATTGGCCACCGTGAAGAGTTAAAGACTGACGTTTCGAGCGGTAGCCCTTCGTCATCCAATCGCTTCCTATTGTTAGGAAAAATGGCGCCAGGATAGAGTTTCTATTCACCCGGCAGTACACTCGAAATGTACAAATTAAATGGACCGAAACAAACGAGGAGATACGAGCAATCTGACTGAGGTGCAAATGAATACCGAAATTACAAATTAAAATAGGAATGAAAATATCGATAAACTCCATCGGATTTCATGAGACGAATCTGATGGATGACTTTGGACACTACCCTTCCTGATGCAAGTCTGACTTTTTAAAGTGAAAAGCTCACGAAACCTTTAAGGGGGGTGGGGTGACTTACACTAAAGTCCTCCCTTAGAATGAAGTAGTTTTTTGAAAATGTAAACTGAAAATTGGACAACCTTCTCGTTCATGTCTAATATACACCAATACCTTCAAGTCGTAAAACGTGGTTATCCGAAAAGATAGGAAAAGCGAGACAGCCTGCAGCGCAGATCATAAGTGTGTAATACATATGCATTATTGAACAATGGTGAGGTCAAGGTGGCTGAACATTTTCCAAGTTTTTTTTTCGCGTTTTTATGGACCGTAGCGAAATCAAGGTCCACAAAAGCACAAAAAAAGAACAAGGGTAATATCCAGCCATCTTTGCCGAACAAGCTTCAGAGTAATAGCACATAGGCGCGGGTGGATATGGGGTTTCTCTTCGATCGAGTGCTAAACTCGATAGCTTACGAGTGAGCGCCTCGTGAGTCTACAGCATTTTGACTTCTGTGATAAAAAAATGTTGGATAAGAATACAGACCACGCTAACCCAGTGACGATTTGTTTATTGCCAGTGGACATTCCGTGAGGTGACTCTTCTTGTGCATGTTTCCCAGGTCGAATTAAAACATAGAATATTGTGGAGGAAGGGAAAACTGGAGGACCTGGAGAACAACACCTGGAGCAAGGACGAAAACCAGCGAAAAACTAAACCCACATTTGACACTAGTGGCCCATTTCTCGAAAGGCCCTGTGACTTAACGGGCCCGGAAAGCTGTTCTGTGTTCTGTTTTCATCCAAGAGAAGGATTATATACTTTTTTTAAATTATGCAATAAAACATTCAGCTAAAGAAACAAAATGGACTGGTTAGGGAGCCAGAAACTTCTTTTCTATTGTTTAGGGACGGTTTATATGCTCTTGTCACTAGTTTTTGTTTGATAAATTGGCTGTACTAGCAATACTGAATAATCAGAGAAACTTTGAAGGGAGACTTGCTGTGAAAGAACTCTCGTGTAAGAATTTAAGTGATTGTCGCATTTTTTAGCGATTAAATCACTTGTTCGGTATTTTTATCGGCTATCCCAGCATCTGCGTAAGAAATAATAAATTGAAAATGGAAACTGCAGGATTGATAAAAAAGTGGCTCGTAACGAAGACAATATCGTTATTTATGCACTGAATGTTACTCTGGTTTCAAAACGAGATCGAGAACGTGGGGCGCAGCTGGTACAAAACTATAGACTAAACACATAGGGTTATAAACGAAGTCTCGGTCCATAAAAAAGAAGAAAAAGAACGAGGCTAAAATCCAGTCATCTTGACCATACAAGCTTGGTCAAGAGAGTTTATATTCTCTCGGCTTAATCATTAAAGGATTCATTGTGTAGCAAAAGATTTCGCTTTGATAAGAATCAAGAATGGCTTGTGTATTTCGAGAACCGATAGTGAAAGCCAACTGTGTTTGCAGCACAATAAATCCAAGAGGGTCGTTTATTTTTTTCTACGTATATGCCAACATTGTCCAAAAGTTACGAACTTTGTAAGTTTTCTTGCGTGGGATCAATACGCGGAATCCCGAGCGGGCGAGGGTGGGCCCATCATACCCGCTCAGGTAGCCAATCAGAACACAGGATTTATGTCATCTTACACTCTTGCGCTGCTAGCTATATGATAAAGTGACTTACAGAACAAGATATCTACTGACCAATCGTATGTTATCCCATTTCGCGATCACAGGTCTCGACATGTTGCCTTTTTTCCACATAAGAGTCAAATTGTACCATTGAGCTACAACGTTCAACACATGATAGTCAGTTTGTGGTCTAATGAACCATTCATTTTTTCCTTTAGCCCCTTATGACGGGTTCATCAGTTCCCGAACCGAAATATTGGGAAAACATATATTTTACAGTTGATCCCAAGTTTATATTTCATTTTTTGCCTTCATCTCTTCTCCCCGCCGTGAGAGGAGAAAATAAATAAATAATTCAAAAACTCATTAATAATTCATAAGCCCATTAACCTATCAAATGGTAGATAATACATCACGTGCAGTGACTTTATATCGATAAACCTCATCCTTATTAGTATGCGGTGTTTTATCAGATATAAAGACACTGCACGTGACTTATGAATATTAATCAATTATCAACACAGAAACTGACACAACAAATAGTGGGAACATATTAAATGTTCTTTCAACAAATTTCACACAGTAAATTTACCTTTGCACCAAATTAATAGTACAGTTGTGAAATACACATCTGGAAAAATTCTCTATTCCATTAGTACAGTAATCTGGTAAAGGCATATTAGACAATACATCATCTGAAACTTCGAATTCAAGATCAGTTGGCAGAAGTGACTCCAACTCGTTTTCGCTAACCTCTGCGTTTGACCTTTTCGTATGCTAATTTCTAACGTTCACAAAAGCATAATTGTTATGAACTCTATTGACACACGCTTTTCCAAGAATGTTTTTGAAGCCGTTCAAAAAACTCGCAGCACGTGTTTTATCGGGTCAAAAACCACTCGGCTACGCCTCGTGGTTTTAAACCCGATAAAACACTCCTGCTCGTTTTTTTAAACATTACATAAACGAATGAAAAAAGAAAGCTCAACAGTTTCCACTTATAGTCATATGGTACATGAACTGATTACTGAGGTGGAGTAAAGCCGTAGAGGGCTAGAAATGCAGTATCCCAGTTCAAAATTGAATAAATCAAGATAGTTATTCTTAAAAATGAACTCAAATGCTTCATTAAAATAAATTGACACTAAATAACATTGATGTATAAAATTTCAGGAACACTACTGATAATAATAATTTTCTTTTGGATTAACATGTGCTCTAAAATGGTGCATCACTACTTAAGACTTTAACACGAACAATAACATCAACCATAGCATGCTAGTTCATCATCAGTTGTAGTCAATTTCTTTTCCAAAAAGTCTTAATGATTACGTACCAATCGATTCCATCCTATTGAGCTTCCAGCCAAGCACTAGCCCACTTTGGGCTGGAAATGATTTTCTTAAACTCTGATCAATAAACCGCTTTAAGGACCATACATCGACTGCTGATATTTCTTATGTCAAGCAAGTAAAAAGACGCTGATTGATATCAGGGAGCCCATCATGTGACATGTATACTGGTCAGCGGTTTTTTTGTGCAACAGCTGTCACTTTAACATCTCAATGTGGATCGTCTTGCTATCCTTCTTGTTTAAAATGATGTGACAATCATTTGAAAAATTTTCTTCCCTGCTTCTTCAAATCGTCCTACTTTAACAGTCACTATTGCAGAACAAAATTGCTTGATCTGTTGAAACTTAGCAACGCGCTTTAAAAACAAAGATCAGTACGAAGCTCATGGCGCTTAAGTTTTTTCATTTTTTCCGATAATTTCCAGATAAAGTCAATACAAGACAGTTGTTTACATCAAAGGAGTGGAGAAATTTCGTCTCGAAGCACACAACTGCCATTATTGCCTTGTGTACAACAGCATAAAAGAACGCACTCTTCAATCACATTTTGCATTAACGTGAGACCTCCCTTCGCGTTAAAATTGACTGAGAGCAAACAGCAAACGGGAAAATTGGTCACTTGTTCATCTTTACCGTTTCCCGTTTGCCGTAATCACGTCCTGCCTAACATCTCCATCAATAGATCACGTATGACGTCAAAATGTGGTAAGAACAAAAGAGGGGCGCACGAGGTACATAAAATTTACTTTTTCCTAACTAATACTTTGCAGGTGAAAGGGGCATCTAACATTGTTCATGACAAGAAAGATACAGCACCCAACAACCGAACCTGTATACAGCAGAGGGACATACGCTTATTTTCCATTCGCAGACGGATTTGATCTGGCATGTGACTATGTTTTAGTAGGCTGCTTCGGGCTAAATTCTGAAAATATCTCAGTGCCCCAGAGTATTCTTGACGGTTACTTTTGTGGAATTTTTATTACCTCAGAATTATACATTCCTAAGCTTTTCACTTCCTGGACTACACAGAATGATTTAACCTCCTAATCAACTTTTGTTGAAGAAAATCCGTCGCTGCAAATACATTCTGTAGCGTGCGACGAGAACTTGGGGTTTGGTGTCTTCTTCATTGAAAATTATGGAACATGTCAAAAAATAATAACCAACCTATCAGTTTCACGGTATTTACAGAACAATGGTTTCCATATCATGCATGTGCTGGCCGAGGCACAGTATTTTATACTGTAATGACAAGGGGTACAAAGGAATATAAAGAAAAAGCACAATTTTGGTTCGTGTGTAGGACATGGCCTGGAACTTGCAGCGCCACATAGCATTGGCTCAGGTTAGGGTACAATGTAGCAGGATGCTCGTCAGGATTGGGTTGGCACTTTGCTGTTGTGCCACCATAGGGTTCAAAACCCCAAGTTGTTTACTGTTTTGATGTCTCAAATCCAATTTTTGATATCTGTATAATACAAAGAAAGAAAGAGAGTTTTCATTATACTATTCTGTACGTGACTCGAGATTGTTACAGTCGTGAAATCATTGTGGTCATGACCGATGATAAAACTGTAAGATTTTCTGTATTGTGGCCAGTATTGATTTCTCACCAAATGCTTTTTTAATAATTAGACTGTTGTTTAGTCAGTTGATGTGCAGGGGATCAAATAGACCCAATTACTTTTAAAAAAGTAAACAATCCTGTAATACTTCTCTGAGAGATACAAAATCTGAAGTGAGATCGTCAGTTCTGCAGGTTAGTGTTTATGATGAAGGTAGTTGCAGTGTTGCACAGTGTTGTTAGTATCATTAGCTACATATACAATGAAGCAACGGTAATTATTACCAGAGCAGTTGCAATTCATTTTAACTCTTAATATTTTGTGTGTAATAAATCATGTTATTGAAGAAAAGAGATGTTCTGAAATCTTTATTTGAAATTCCGGGTTCTCTTCATCTGATAGGAGAACGAAGTTTGAAATTTTGTGTTTCGTTTTAGTTTACTTCAGTGAAACTTCACTGAAATTTCACTGATGATGAGGGGACATTGTGAATATGAGCCAATTAGGGACATCATAGAAAAACCTTCATTTGAAAAAAGAAAATGCAAAAAGCACCTAGTACGACAAGTTAAGGTTACTGTCAACAAATCGGGTCAAGATTTCGTTTTTCCGCTCTTTAGTGAGAAACAGCAGTTAAGTAAAACACGAGACGTCGCTGAAAGAAAGTTTTGGCGAACCTGTACTGAAGAGCAGACGGTGTCATAATCGGAAAGGCCTCTGAAATATCTTGATTTGCATACTTTGTTTTCTTGCACTGCGCAACTAAAGGGAATTGCTGGCACCTTTCGGAAAACGTCGAGAAAGAAGAGTTCAAAAAGAAGAAATCAAAGTAAAGGTGTTTTTCTCTTAGCTTGCTTTGCCCACTTCTTCTTTGTTTTTCCGGATGAATTTTTGGATTTCGTTTAATTCATGGCAGATTCGTTTTCCTCTTTCGCGATATGACCTCTCCAGGGAATTTCAAAGGAGTTTTTTATCACGAGACTTGCCAAGGGGTTCGATGTTGCCTTTTAATGGTTGGCGGCATGTCCAGTCTGTTTGAAGGTCGGCGGTAACGCGGAGGATGGTAATTCAGTAAAGCAAACACCGTTGGTTGAGTGTTTAAAATTTTGTCATTATCAGAGTCTATACTTTACATTGATATATAGCTTTCCAAGGTTTCTTCTAAAGGTGGCACGTAGGAAGTTTTTTCCGGAAGGTACCCTATTCTGTTGACAGCAAAACTGTAAATACCTGTTTGACCAGTCGACTGCGCGGGCTACGCTTCTCTATTTGCATCGCTTTTCCCGCCTTAAAAATGATGCGCAAAAAATTGAATAAATAACTAGACATTTACATATTTATATTGCTAGTTAAACTCGTTGTTTTGTTTTGACTCGACTGTGGGCTTGTCGAAATACAGCACAGCTCTTAAAAATTCTCACCGAAAACGTCTAACAAGATATATATACTGCACAATACTACAAGCATACACTGTCCTATTAGACCCCAAATTGGGCTGGTCATTAATTTTTGGTTTGTACAAATGTTTACCATCTTCATTTTAAATTATCACTACGCGTAAGCATCACATATCGTCAGTCCTATCCTCGTAGTTTGTCACCACGGCTTAGCTTGTCATGGGTTTCCTTTAGGTGGTGGAAAGTCTGAAGTACTAATCGGAAGGTCGTATGTGCGACTCCTATTGCGAACACTTAGAGTTTTTTTTTTTCTCTGTTAATACCTTTGTTACTCAGTGAATAATATTTTCCTTAACCTAAAACACCAGGCTTAATATTAACCATCTTCATTTACATCATCATTGGGCATAGGCATCGCATATAAACATTCTTATTCTCGCAATATGCAGGAACTTTCCACGAGTCTGAAAAAGCTCAGTGGTAGAGCGTCCGAAGTACTTACAGGAAGTTTGTAGGTTCGAGTCCAATTGGGAGCATTTGGATACTTTCTCTTTCTGAGTATGTCTATGTTATTCACTGAATGACATTTTCATTTATTTAAATCACCAAGCTCGATATTTACCAACTTCATTTATATCATCACAACTCATAAGTATAACATATTGACGTTCCTATCCTTGCAGAATGCAATAAGTTTGTCACCTTGAACGTAATTAACAGGCCAAAGATTAAACCTTGCCTGGGGTCTTCTATAACATAGTGGTAGACCTTGCGAAGTACTAAAGGGAAAGTCGTATGTTGAAGTCTTATTAGCAGCACTTGAATATTTTTTCAAATCTCTGTCTGTCTCATTCTTCATTTACCTAGTTTATGGTTCTTGTGGGGTGTATATTGGAACAATTATTCACCTCCTCCTGGGTAAATAATTGTTTAATATTCTGATACCTATAGAAAAAAGAGAAAAATCATCCTTCTAAGATAAGAATGGTTAACCTATAATGATTCGGGAAAATAAAACTGATTTAATATGAAGCCATGATGCTTTGGGCCCGCTTTACAGGTTCATAATTTGGCTTACGGCCAACGTAGTCCTCCATAAATCGTCGGTTGGTTTTATCATTCTGCGTTGCTTATTGTTTGAACATAATGTTACAGTCATTTCTTGTCTGTTTTTTAAGTCTACATTACTGGTTTGTGCTCACTACAGGTCATACGACAGGAATTGTGTTATAGTTAAGTTGGTGACGTAACTTGATCGCAGACCATGGTGCTACCAAACATCGTAACGCGTATATCGAAGTTTGACACTCAGGCGAAAGAGAGACTTGATTAAGTCTGTTTCCCGATGGAGTAACCTGGTACAAATTTCAGTTATGATCTACACTTCTATTCCAGCGTCCACGACTCCCGCTTCGGCTATCGGTACAAACTTGTCATCAATCTTAACCAATACAATAGGCCGATCAACATGGCTTCTTCGCGCAGGGTCCCTGTGGCACGGTGTCCATCGATGTACCACAATCCCCTCAACACCTTCCACTGGGTTCCAGTCCTTCCAATAAGATCTTCCTCCGTGTTCCCTCATAAGTTCTGAGGGCCACTGAACATCAATTCTCCGCCCCAGGTTAATGCTATCATAAACCTGCCCGCGGTCAATAATCCGTACACGTTGTGTCAGGCCCTCCGCGGATGCAGCCCCGGGACTCTGGAGCTGAGGCATTTGGTGCTGAGCTATGCTCACGGATAATGTACTAGGTCTCTTAGAGCCCGAGCTCGCCGTAGATCTTTGACTTGTTCGGAACCCCTGTTGCCCCCGATTAAATGAGGAACTTGGCGTCGATCCTCGGGTACTAATGTACACGGGGCCCTCACGGAAGCTCGTACAACGTTCCGTAAAAGTTGGCCCAATAGAAACTTCCGGCACATTTGCACCCGTGATGTCTCCACCGCTTTGACAAGTGGCGCCACAACGCATGCGTATACGATGCCACAGACGGCCGAGACAACCAGCAATGCCATTGAAACTCAAAGGACCTCCAACAACTTTAGCTAGTTGTGGGTTTGAGTCCGCATATGATGTTGTTAGTGGTGACACATATATTGGATATCCTATTGGCTGATCACACACTGAATTAATAATGTTCCTCAGCGCTTGTTTAGCGTTCTGAATCGAGCCACGCTCTGGATTCCGATTCCTGAGGAAGATCAGTTCTTGAAGTTGTCCTGCCCACAAACCTCGAACACACTCGCGATTGACCTACAAGGCAAGGGGAAAAAATAGCATTGAACCATTTGACTTCTAGAAGAGAATAATATCTAATTGTCCTTTCAATATCACCCCGAGTCACACATAAGGATCACGACAACGAAGGAAATGATCACCAAGTCATGAAGCTCTTGATTGCTGATCAAATTCTCCTTGTCAGCACCTTAGGAAATATATACAGAACAGTATGGAGAATATGCATAGTGATGTTAGGGTGTAAAGGGTTAAGCACTGCCACAAGTTAAGACTACCAGCTATATCTTCGACCAGTTTTTAAAAGGCACATGTAAATCCATTATTGTTGTACTTCGTTTTCCTAAATATTTTCCCTTTTCATTTTTGTGCGTTTGGCACCAAAATATGAAGTATTTAATCATTAAGAGATGGGTAGAGTTTCCATTTCCTACAGTTATATTCAAGTAGAAGAATTACTCCAATACTCACTTTAATTACTCTAAAACTTAAATATCTCTTGTTGAGCATGATAATCTTGTACTCGTCTGTTCCATCATCAAACACATGCCTGAGGAAAGAAAAGTGTCTCGAGTGTCTTCGCCTTCCTCTTACAAAACATTGACGAAATATTACCGCTAATGGAGCCAACTGTTTCAAAACGTCTTATTTCCTATAAAATTCAGTCGTCATACACTTATTTAATTGAAATTCGAATCACTAATGATTCTGAAGGTGATGCCCTACAGTTAAAATAACTTGAGGGAATTACGATAAGCTGACTGAACAACAGCATCCACTTGCCACGAAAATTTGCTCGGGAATTTGTCCGCAGATATTATTTGTTCCAGGAAGTACAGATTTCCCGAGATCGACACCGTTCCGATTCAGTTAAGGACGTTAAGACAACGATGACGACGGCGGCAACAAGAACGTAGCAAAAGATAAGATCTAAATAAACCTCGGCAGAAATTTAGTCAAGTTTTCACTTTGAACTCAATACTACAGTCACATGTTGTGCCGCAGTGAAGATGTCGAAGCGTCAGAAACGATTAACGTATCGAGCTATTAGCGAAAGGATTACAGGAAAATAAGTAACCACACGTCGCCGAAGAGACACCTTAAACTCCCGAACTCCCAAATGAAGTGGACGGCCAGACCGCTCATGTCATGAAGAAAATTTCCTTTATAAATCAAAACTGTCCAACACGATCTGTCATTACGTTATTCTGATAGCATTATTAAATGAAAAAGAAATTGAAGTCTCCACTTAATTAGCCGGTGTGTTCGTCCATCTTTTACTAGTCAGCGCCCTATGAACGCGCTTCTATTTAAAAGCTGACCTGAGCGCCAACAAGGACTGAGTATTAGCAAGCACGGCCTGTCTCCATTTTGGATCTCCTTCATGTGAAATGACCATGTTTTGTTCGTGAGCTGTTATGGCATCGTATAAAACTGAAAGTTCGTCGTACTCGTCTGGAGAGGTAAAGTGATCCTGAAAGACGAGAGTAAAAACATAACGGGTTATTTTGTTTTAAAAATGTAAAAATGATTTGAATGTGTGGCGTATTTCCCTCAGAGAGTACATTGTAAAATAGGGGTGATGTTTGTAGCAAGAGAGGAATGTAACCTCACTATCAAAGTACTGGTCTTCACATTTCCTTAAAAATATCGTGACAAGGGAAACTACGGAAAAGTAACCAGCGTAGTAAGAATCTCGAAAAGTTGCGGTCAGAGTAAAAGAATTTCTTGTTTACATTTCCCGATTTGAAAAGAAAAAAATTTCTGTGTTAAAGTTTTTTAAATTCGTCTGCCTTGTCTTTCAATTAACTAAATATTTTAACCATCCAAGCGCACTATCAATTTTTTATGCGCAACAATATTCTAGTTGAGCCTTTAATATCTCATTACTTCTTACCTGGTGCAGTTTTAGTGACATGCGCACTCCAGGTGCAACAATTTTTCGTAACAGATCCATGTCAGCAAACACCCATTCATCCTTGGCGTCAGTGATTCGAAAATCTCCTTTAAACAGGGCGTGTAGACCGTACAAAAATGATTCCAGGCTGGTTGAAAAGTGAGAGGCAGTTAAATAATGATGAAATCCTCTTATCTTCTTAGTTATTATTACACGTTTCTCAATTAAATGTCTGTTACGAGATTTGCTTTATACATCCGCACAATGATAATCATCAGGTTTCTTTTGTCACGTTTCTGTTTGGCGACTTGAAATTCATTTTTTTTGATCGCCCAGAAGGGAATCACTTATCTCGCATTTTCGAAGTTTATTTTCACGAACGTTAATAATAATTTACCGAATGAACAAAACTCCGTATCTTCGAAAGGACGCAGTGCGGATCGACTCATACTTTTTCTTCTTCCGAGCTAGTGAAAGAAAAGAATAACACCTTTCTCTCCTCTACGACCGAGCCCAACACTCATCAGGTCTTTAACCCCAGCAGGTATTTCGTTGCTACAGACATGTCAAATTCATTTAAAAAACTGCCGCGTAAATCGAGTGAGCTGACGAGAGAAATCTGAAAAATGTTCGTCAGTGGAAATGGCGGCCAAAAATTAATGAGGTTCTACCGAGTATCTTAACTCTTAAAATCGTTCACGACAACTTTTTTAGTCAACCTAACTCTAATTTGAAAGTCACGCTCTGCATTAACAAACCTGGCAGACTGTGGATGTGAAGCAGTCCCTAATGCTCTTCTTCCCAGGAGACACAGCGCAAAACAAAGAGTTGCTAGAAAAGAATCTCTCTCACACTCAACCGGCTGAAACCAAAAACAAAAAGACAATATGATGATCAAACTGGATAAACCTGTGCCTAAAACTCGTCACCGGCCCCCTTTTTTGAACAAACAAAGCCTCCGCCGGTTTCAGAATATAGTTATGTTAGCAGTGAAAAGGTGGCTTTCAATACACCCTCAGTCAAACCCTCGAGCTCATATTGCGGACATCACAAATTAGGAGGACTTGTGTGAGAGCGTTCAGCAGAATTGCTGCACGTGTTTTCTCTTGCTTCTTCCAAGTCAGGAATTTTCCATCCTAATGTTTTCACCCTACCTTATTCTTTATCTAATAAATATAAGAATCTGACTTATTTTTGTGGCACGTAATTATGGAAAAATTTCACTGGAGGGGGGGGCGGCAAACAGTTCTCGCTTTTCAAGGAGAGTACTAAATTGCCTAGTTCTTACCTAGTTATGAAATAATGACTTTCTGTGGCAGTCACCTAGAAAGTTGCATTCACATCACCAACGACATAATATTTCTATTTATTGGATTCATATAATACAACTCCAGTGGAAAAGTCACCCTCATTGGTCAGATGACCAAATGTTTTTAAAGGTCTCGTGTAATGCTTGCAATTATTAATAATCTGAGATTGAACTGTTAACATTTCCTCACCGGATCCTTACGTGAGGCACAGTACTGAATCCAAGAATAGTAACAAGTGAGAAAGCTGGTTCTAGAGATGCCGCTCTGTCGCAGATCGTAATCTTCGTCAATATTATGATAGAAAGATCGATCAACATCCACATACTGCGGGTCATGAACAGACATCAACTGCTCACGTAAGGTCTCGTCACGTAACCAATGATCCAGCTTTGGTGACTTAATTGTGTAGAATATCACCGACTGTAGAGGGAAAACACCAGGTATTTGATGTCACTATTTTACTGTATTCAATGAAGACGTCTAGCTCAATCTTTGGCACTTTGGACATTACATAAAAGGGCGATTATATTGTGTTCTTGGGCAAAACGCTTAACTCTCACAGCGCCTCACTCCATTCAGGAGTATGAAGGGGTACTGTTTTGGTGAAACCTGATGAAATGCCAAGGAGAAGGGGTGGGGAGGACTTGCATTAAGCTACAATCCAAAGACCAGGGATAAGCTCAGGATAAGCTGAGTATCAATCTCGCATGGAGATTTAGACCACTTTGTAACTTGCAGAAATTGGTGAACTGTTACTGCTTGGGTTAGCAGACCGGTTTTTACAATTTCAAAAAGCTTTGAAAGGTTAGCTGCCATGTTTTCAGTAGTTAAGTTGTGTGTGTTAAATTCAGGAGACCTAAAGCTTAATTTAGTCATTTAGTGGATACACACCAATTAATGCTCTTTACGTTTTTAAGGCAAATTTCACGATTACACGTTCTTGAAAGAAACTTTGCGACAAAAGGTGGAGAAAAACCAGTTGCCCTTCAAATCAACTATCATCTAGTTGTTTGCATAAAACATTTCATCTTTCAACATGAAGCAATTTTCAAATATTGATAAAGAAACAGCGTTTTCACAGATGAAAAATAAAAGTATTAACATACCTTCACATAATAAGTGACGAGTATCTTTCGCAGATCAAACACTTGTAACATAGATGCTGCTGAGTTGTCACTGATACTGTAACCTTCGATGATATACTTGGTCGCGCTTACTTCCCAAGCTAACCACCGCTGACCAAACGCCGCATTCAGAGAAAGCATGTTGGGAAGATGGCCCGGCTCACAGCAACAGCAACCTGGGAACAAGTAAATGAATAAGAGACATGTACAATTGGTGCGTGCACATGAGGAAAAACTGGAAAGAACGTGAATTCTTATGAAAAGAGTTTTCTTCGTGTATTGTAGATCTATGGCATGGCAAAAAATTCTGTGAGTCTGCCCGAAGGCCGGGTGTGAAGATGAGGCAAATATACTTCCAAAGTTTTTCTATCACTCAGACAAAGTCAAACGAAAATAAGAGGCTCAAGGTTAAAAGAAAGTTGTTGCTGCATTAAATTTCACTAAAAATCTGCAAATTCAGAAACAAACCATCATCATCTTCGACTCCTTCGGTGATAGCTTCAACTTCTCGCTGCTGACAGTATGTGCCTAAAGTTCAAAAAATGAAGGTTTAGATTTGACAATGTTCCTGAATATTCATCTATTATCAAAACAGGGCTGAGGCAATAATAAGAGATTTAGTAAAGAAAAGGAAAACATTCAGAACTAAAATTGAGATAAAAATTTCGTGAGTTTCTTTATGCATTGTGCTTACAATGGAATTTTACCTCGTAATCCTATTTTCACAAGAATCTATCAAACTAGGAAATTTCGTAAAAACAACTTGCTTGTTTGTTCCCCATATAAGAAAGTTAATAATATGACTGAGATTCTCTTTCACAATTTGCCATAGGGGGGCTGTCGTAAAGAATGCAATTCTTACCTCTAAACTCCAACCCTCGAACCTGAAAGGTAACAAGGCCATTTCCAACCTCTATGACGTGAACCAGAGCATTGAGGTAGTCTGAAGCTAACATGAAACAGTCCCCTGTAGAAAACGGCCCCCAACGGCCCATCATAAGGTCCCCACACAGGCTGTGCTGCAGGGACCTTGTTAGATGTTCGTAGAATATAGAGTTGAGATTGTTGTCGTCACTTCCTGAATTTCGAGAAAAGAAGACGTTGGAAATCGTTTCAGCGTCAAATCAATGATAGTTATCTATTATTTTTACATACGTATATTCTTACGAGCGCGTCCTAATGAAAGTCATACTAAGTCGTTGGGCCATTTCACAATTTTGTCTACGTTTATGACAGTCATTTTTCTACTTCATTAACAACCTGTTTAAGTATAAAAATAATAGGAACAATTTCCAACACTTCGATAGGAGTCAAAACTATTCTTCCACGCGTTGACCCAGCATTCCTCCCAGTGTTGAATTATGATAAAACCAGCTTTGATTTTCTCGTTTGGAAAGGTAATGCAACAGGAAATCATAAGCTCCCTGAACGGTGATTGTTGAGCCTATCGGGTGTGGGAGTATCTGAAGTTTGTTACACTAGGTACTTCAGCTTGTGGAATCTGAGATAAACTGAGAGATAGTGGTTGTTCGTGTTAAGCACCATTACAGGGAAGGACCCAATTGGATACGATAATTTGTGGTTCTCAAGATGAAAGCGAAATGCCACTCTCTCATATATCCTCCACGTGACCAACTGCTGTTGGTCAATAAACTTGAAGGCTCTGGGCAACCCTACTGAACAGGACAAAGAAGGAATACATGAAACAAAAACAAACTTACCAGGATTTCTGTCGAGCTGCGAGGAGAGGCGTGTGTTAGAATGATCCACTCGACTAGTGCTAAATACAAGAGAGACATTAAAATAGTTTAATACACTAACTCCTTGTATCTTTAAAAACCATATGTAAATCTACGGCTGAAAGACAGAATTGTACTTACTATATACGAATTGAAAATTACGATAAACGCATAGTTTCCAAAATGTTATTGAAATAACTATTCGATTAAGACGAGGAACGTTTTGGTGTTAATTGTATGCATTTATCCGTACCATGTTGGTGGAGAAAAATCTGTCAATCCAGCTATCGAGTTGAGGAGTTACCGAGTTAAAATGTCTTCTATGTAACGTCAGTGTTGCTGAGTCGAGAAAGCTGTTGACAAAGCTCAGCGACGCGAACTAAGCTTAACATAAGGGATACCTTTCGTGCTACTTACTTGTAGTCCTTCTCCCAGAATTTGACAGGCCGCACGTATGACGTAATGAATATAGCGCTACCCAGGAAAGGGTTCAATGGAGCAGACAGCACAGACGACAATACAGCTTGGAAAAACAGCATGGCGGAGTCTGAGGGGAAATATGTCAAGGAAGCATCGAAACAGCAACAGTGACTAGTGAGGATAGCCGGCAAAAAATGGTAATAAAAGAAAGGGTGGTGCATGTATGTGCTTCATGAACGAACACAATCTTCTGTTGACGATTTCACACACTGTGACTAAATACATGACTAAAAAGTTTCCACTGGTCATTTAGGAGAACATTGACCGCTTAGCTCGGTTATGCCCAAGAAAACTTTACACTTAAGTGTAACAAAGGAACAAGTGCGGTTTCAAACCCATTACACTTTATTACTGACTATATCAAAACTAACATTCCACTTCATAAACAGCTGGGACTGAAAAGACAAAATCAAAGGTATTTTTGTTTTGAACTCGGAGATCAGGGATAAAAAGGTGCTAAGAGCGTTCGCGTCTCACCGCTGAAAGCTGGTTCTCGTACCAAGGCTTTCTCTTCCAAATCTTTGCTTTCCTCTCTTTCGAGAGTCAACACTCTAAATTAAAATTCTCCAAGGAAAAAGGGAAAGAAGGATGTGTCCTTTCTGAGACCCAACTCAGTATTCATTGCACTATTTGATTACCACTAGAAAAGGATACGAGGAACACTGAAGGGTTGTGCGAATGCATGAAAAGCAGAGCCCCACGTGATCTGCCATGGAGCTATGTACGTCACCACGAATCGGACCTTTAAGACAAGTTCATACAACTGAAAGAGAAACAAAATGATGTTATTAATTATAATAATAACAATAATAAATGATTATTAATGTCATTTGAGATCACTTTTCGGTTGAGTGTCACAAAACCAAAGTCAACGGCCAATCAGAAGAAAATAAATACCTTTAAGGGCTAATGAGAATTCAAAGTAAAAACAACGAAACTGCCAAAGTGCGGGAAAACGCCGCCGACCAAGTCGTGATTGGTTTCATTATTGCATCTGACTGATTGATGGAGTGAAATTATTACAGAGGGAAGTAAAGGAGATTCATTGCCATCTCGGAATCACGGATCACTCAATTGAAATTGCTCCAACTTCTCTCGCTGAGAAGCAATTTTATCGCCAACTTATTGCTTTTGCTAAACTTTTTTACGTCTTGTTACTCAATACTTTGCATTATTGTGCATATTAGTTTCTATCTTACTCTTACATTTACCTTACTCATGAATATTGACATAAAGAAATAGTCCACAACAAAAGTCTCCGAGCTGTGACTGTAGTCAAAGTGAAAGAAGAGAACTGTCCATAGCAACACCACATGCTGCCTAGAGGAGTCTGAGAACGAGCAGCGCAACAGCTTCAAACCCACGATACATATGACTACTGGCCCTCCACTACAGAAAAAATCAAGAAAACAAAGTATTGTTCCCTTAGTTCAGGAATGTTCCAAATCGGATTTTTTGAAAGATTCCTGCTCTTAAAGAAGGGCGTTCAAATACCATTATAAGAATTTGACGCTGAATATGAAAAATGTCTTGCGAGGATAATTTTTTTTTTTACAACCAAGGTAAATGTTTGGGGGAACTTACCCTTAATGTTTTATGACCCTATCAAGTGAAATTGAATGGCAAAATGAGCTTCCTTGCACACAAAAACACAACCGTGTACTTACAAGTGGCCAAACTTGTCAATTAATCGGCTAGCATTTGATGTCAGTGCACTCAAAAATACAGCGGGATAAATAATGTTCCTCTCTACAAAATTCAACCACACGTGAACCCATTCGTAAGCCATGATCTTGGCTGGAGCTAAAAAAAGAGAAAATAATGCTTAAAGTAAGACTACAAAAAGTCTTTACTTATTAGTTAAGACGATATGCAAACAAACTGGAGACTGAATCGGAGAGCCCCTTTCCGCTGGTGGTCCACAAAAAAACTCCAAACTCAACACGCAGGGGAAAATAACAGAGGAGAGTATTTTAAGTTCCAAACGAATGGTCATAAGTTCCACCTTCGAGAACATTCAGATGTTCCTTTTACCCAGAAGAACTGTGTCACGCAGAGAACTCGAAAAAATGTTTCACCAACCTTTAACTTCGTATTGGTTGAACTCACGACTTCGTAGAAAGGGCCTTGCGAAACACAGCCAGGGAAGAGGTTTGTGAAGCTGAGGCCAAATATAATGGTTGACGACGCCCAGTAATCCGGCTACAGCGTACAACACATAGCTGACATATGGCTATCGAAAGCAACAGGCAAAGATACAATAAGTCAAAACAAGGTCACTTCGGTGTTGTTTTCATCACCTGTTCGATTGCATTCCGTCTAACCCTTGCATTCTTAAGCTCTGAGTCGCAATTCTCCCCCCCCCCCCTAGTTGCTACACAAGTCTTTGGACATTAGTTCCAAAAATTTGGTAATAATTCAAGACAGCGCCCTCAGTTTATTGGTTTTTGTATTCTCCTACAGTCATTGCTGTAAATCGTATTGATATTGCAAGGAGAAGATAAACACTTCTAGATTGATGAGTTAAAATGACTTCTCTATCTTTTACCATTTTTGCCCTTTTCGGTCTATTATCGAATCAACTTATTTCTCTATCCAACTAAATAAACATTTGAATATTCATTTTTACTCAGCGGCACTTTTCATTACCACAAAAGCGACTCTTAAATGTTGTAACGGTAGCTGACTTCCTAGAGACACCCAACCCAAAACCTCTCTTAATCACAGTCATTTACGAATGTGGAACTCTACAAGGCATTAAATAATCCTATCAGATTCAGCCACATACTTGGATAAATTGTCAAATAAGCAATAAAAATCAACTCCATACCTGTAGAGCTGTGAATACTGTGCTCAGATGAATAGCAAATACAAACACCAAGATGAAGATACAACAAACGACATCGTTCTGAAGACGCTTGGCCTGTCAAAAACAGGAAGAAACTCAGTTACAAGACAACAAATTTTGACTTCGGTCTTGAAATTAAGAGAAGTGATTGATTAAGCATTTGTCTCGAACGTGGAGCAATGGCAAAGTTTGATTATCCCTTAAGCATTCGGATCTCAAACCTTATGATTTTACGATCGGTTGCTCTCAGTAACTCAACAATAGAGAACTGATTGGTGAGATTGCAAATACAGGGTACATATGCCACCTTCCTACCTACTGCCACAATAAATAGTTCTCAGTCCCTGTTGCTCATTTGTTACAGCATCCGACAGAAAAGTGAGAGGTGGCTAGGGCAAGAATCTTAGGGAAGACATAATTTTCGTCCCAAGCTCGCGACATTGTTTGAAATCATTGTCCATTAAAGTAATTTTAAGTAACTTTAAATCAATCGCGAATTGGCGTCCACTTTTTCCCGCGCTTGAAGCTGATTGAATGTTGTTAATTTGAGTTCTCATCGGTTCTCGTTATTTCCCTTCCCTCTGATTGGCTGTTGTGGTAACTTAGGCTTTGGTACGTCGGTGAATCGAAAAGCGCTCTAATAAGAGGACAATTAGCTAACGTACCACAGTCGCTCTAAGCTTCTCAGGCAAAGGATCAACAAATTCCTCTTCATTATCCTTAACAGCATCTTTCCCAAAAGCTTTCCTGAACACCGCCCTATGACACAAACGGGGAAATACGTTATATTAGGTGAAAAAAAATTGGTAAAAACAAAACAATTGTATGTAGCCGAACAATGAAAATGAACAAACACACAACTGATCGAGAGATCTCGCAAATTCTTTTAGGAGGCGTAAGTATTTTTCAAATCTGGCAAAGTAAGCCGAGCATATACTCTTGGTTCAAAGGGATGTTAGACTACTCCGCCATGCAGACTCTCGCTATTTGGTCTCACCCCAAAACTGTAGGATCACTGGCACTGCGGCTCAGGTGATACGAAATGACAACGAGCACACCACTGAACACAGAGAACAGAATATGTTGGCCGCCTTCTTTACCGTGCTATGAAGAAAGAAAACAATAGTAACGTATGGTATATTATTAACAATCACTCTTATCCCCTCTCTTACACTGTTACAACTTGTGACGTTACATTTAATATAGTTTTGACCATGTGGAGGTCTATTCCTATGCGTGCAAAAGTTTTTGGGATTGTCTTGGTTTTGCTTTCCCACGTGAATTTACTTTGCATTCTGAGTGGCCTCTTGTGGTGTTTCCTTTGTTCTGATTGGGTGCTGCGATTACTTTTGTTTTTGATTGATGACTTTCAATAGACCTCCTTGGCTTGGATGTTTTGTTTACCCATTTCAGGTCTGAAGGGAATTCCCAGCTTTATCTTTTGTAGATTATACCTACATAAGCACGTGAATTTGGAAGACACAGTGTCCTAAGGCGATAAATATCACAAGTTTTTAGTTTCCTTACCAACATAGCTCCATAGCAGAAGCCATAAAGAAAACAGACCGCCAAAAGATTACGTAACAGACTCCAAAGTGCTCCCGTTAAACTTGTAATGGCTAAAAAATTAAAATAATTTGAAGCATTTCAATGATATAGTCAGAGGAATTACACACTAAATTTTCAATGGAATTTGTTCCAACTAGTGCAAAATGTACATTAAAGAATTGGTTCATAGCGTGCGTACATCGAGTTATAGATGCACGCCGGAAGTTTAGAGAGCACGAAGGAAGCATAAATTTTCCCTGTTCGTTTCTAATAACAGTGTGGGTTTTAGAGTACAGTTGTGCAATTCTTAGTTGCATCAAGGCTTCTTGAAAACTGATAGATAACATTACTCTCAGAAAGTAATCTAGGTATACTTTACTTTAATTGTTTTCCTCCTTAAGAAAGGTTCTGACTGTGGTCAGTGACGACTGATTGATTGACTTAACAAACAAATTATCTTTACCATTTCCTCCAAACAAATGCATATCCAATTGTTCCAGTATGTACATAAAAAATGTGTTGACTTGGGGTAGGAGACCAACAAGGAAGATTAAAGGAAAGCCAAGAATAAACCCTGCAAAAAAAGAGAAACAAATCAAGCAAAGATTTAATTGACTCAAACATAGTTTTTTCAAATCCCTGTGAGAGCTTCTCCTTGCCCTAGGATACTATCTAAGGACACGTTTTCCAAGGGTTAGGTGGAACCGTTTTGTTCTGTTCTGTGGCAGTGCCTCCTTACACTCAGCTGCGCAAATGGGTACCTGTAAGTTCTTCACAAACATTTGTATGTTTGTAAGGTATTCCTATGAAATACCTTATGTATGACCTTTGCTTAAGCAATTGCTTGGTGATTATAATTCAAATGGTTTTGAATGGATTGCAACAGATTATAAGAATTGTTTTCCAACAGATCTCAACCACAATTCAGTAAGACTCAATAGTCAACTAAATGCTGTGTTAAATGAATAAAGGGGTAAGTTTCTAAAGAAACTGTGGTGCTGCGTCGGTGGGAGAGTATAGCAGGTAATTTAGTGTTAACAACTGGGTTGAAAACGTAAATTAGCCACCGTAAAGGGTAAAAAAGCTGACGTTTCGAGCGTTAGCCCTTCGTCAGAGCGACGACGAAGGGCTAACGCTCGAAACGTCAGCTTTTTTACCCTTTACGGTGGCTAATTTACGTTTTCAACCCAGTTGTTAACACTAAATTACCTGCTAAATGCTGTGTTGATTGGTAACCCGAGCATAATGGGTTTTATTGTGCCTGCTTATAGTCATTTATTTGAAACAATTTGTCTTTGGCAACTATGGTAAAAAATGGAAGACAGTTGATTTTTCTTAAGCTGCTTGGAGGTGCAAAGTACTTTGCTAATCACCTCTAAACTCAGACTAAATGTTACCACTCAGTTGTGAGGTACATGTATATACCAAAAGTTGATAGCACTACCTACCAATCAGAAAGTCTCTTGTGTATGTCAGAGTGGAATTAGTGGCAAATGGGATACCATATAATGAGACTGTAACCACTTCAGACTGAGTCAGTTTGTCCAAGGTAAGAATACATATTGCTAAAACACAGAAATATGTTGGCCGACTAAACACAATCATGTGATTGTGTCCCTAGAATTGAGGAAAGAACATGGCTCTATTTAGTTTAAGAAAATTTCAATGTATATTATGAAAATAATAAACATGACAATGCACTTCCAGAGATAGTTTAGATAATTACTGCGTTGAAATGATGAAAGCAGCCACATGAATAAAACATGTGGGAGATGCTGTTCTCCTGATACTAAAATCAATCAGAATTCATGGTAACAACACTTAAAAGGTGGCATAGTACTTACATGTGTTGGAGAGGCAGCATCAGGCTGAACACTCTGGAAAAATGGTTAAGACATAGATGTTTATTTTATTATTAATTTTTTCTGACATCTATCTAATTATACGTTGCTAATATATCATCTGTGGACAAATGTGGCAAACTGATATAAATTTTCTTTGAGAACTTCACTTTTTCTGTTTAATTCTTATGTTTTCTTTGCAGGTCAACCCCATAATTAATCCAATGAGCTTTCACAACTCAGAAGAATACCTTTCATTGAACACACTTGAAGTTTGAAGAGAACATATTCAACTAACCACATGCATCAAATCAACTGCTGTGACAGCCACACAGTCTCTTGCAGCTCTTGTGTTTTACATTCAAACACCACTTCCTTGGTTGTTCAAAGAAAACATCTTACATTACAAGTATAGACATTGCTGTTCATTGATGTCAAAGTGGACAATAAGCATTGTACACCGGAAAATTGGAGATGTTAAGTAAATTATTTGCTAGTTATAATTGACAGCTGATTCCAAATAACTCCCAACCCTCGAGTAATATTTCCTTCCCCTCAAACTTTACCCTTGGTAATAGAAAGTCCCAGAATTTTTTCTTGGAGCTTAGAGCTAAGGAAGGTAAAGTGCATGACAGAACTGTTCATCCCATGCAATTTTACAATTAACATGCTTCATGAGTTCATTTTTGATAATTCCTGATACTGTATTCAACATTTTGACTAGTAACAATTCATGACCCACCATATTGACTGTAACAGTATTCTAACCTTAATAAGAGAAAATTGGCATCCAGCCAGCACAAAACAAAACACAAAAATCCAGAAGTCTCTAAAGAAGTCTGCCAACAGAAGCCAATAACCCAGAACTGCCACAAGAACAGCCAACAATACAGACACTGCTGCTTCTATCATGTATTTGTTCCTGTAAATAGAATGGTACATGTGTTACTACCAATGGTGATCAATAAATAAAAATCTCCTCTTACGTAAACTTTGGAGCAAAATTACTTCTTTTGATTTAATAATACTGAGAATAAGCACCTGGATCTGTTTCACTAATATTTACTGAAGGCAGTATCAAACCCCTCAGGATGTATATGATAATGTCAAACATGAAAAACAGAATAAATAGCACGAATATTGAAAATGATAAAAGTACAACTACCACTTGAAATAATTAAAATATTCTCATTGGTTGAAAGTGAACATACTGTATACATTACATGGTTCAAATTTATCCTTGGTTCAAGAAAGAAATATTAAAATTGAACCAAGCCAAGTACACCAAAAAATGTACATTTTGTATTAAAACATGGAATGCTTATCTATAAGAAACAATGGAATCAAGAAAAATAATGCATAATGTTTAGCCCCTTAAACTCCTTGGAGTGACCATGAAAAAAATTTCCTCTTACAATATCAATGAAATATCAAGTAGTCATTGGCATGTGATGACAATAAAGAAAAAAAATTAGGGGATTATTATTGATCTAATATCAAATTCTCTGAACTAACTTTACAGGAATTGTATGGCAGAAAGTAAAGAGAATTACTGATGAGATCTTGTGGTTATTTCAGTAAGAAGTAGGGTTGGAAATTTGTACCTGTCCATTAGAGCAAGGAGAGCAAGTCGATCAAATTTGATCTTCATGAATTTTCCAGGAAAAAGCTGAAATTTGAAATAGTGAGGCCTAGGTTTTATTGTTGATGACACAGATGTTGGCCGGGTGAAAGGAAGGCTAGCTGATGAGATGGTTTCCTGCCATCTTGTCTGAGAAGACCCACGACGCACAGATGATGAGTGTGACTGAGGATTTCTGGGTGAAGTGGTGTGATCAACAACAACTGTTGATGCAGAGCTACTTGTTTCCCTTGAGTGCAACAAAAAAAATTTTCAGTCTTAACAACTAAAACAAAGATCCCATGGGTACTGCCATAAATGAGACTTTTTCTTCATAGCAAGCACAAATACTACCGGAAGTCAATGCCATAAAGGCCTACTGGTCATTGTAAACTTCTTCTCTTCCAGAATGCAAGGCTATAGGCATTTAATCTTTGTGGTTAATGGTTATGTGAGGCAGAGGGAGAGAAGAATTCCAAACTAAGACAACACAGTCATCAAAAGTGGCACTACTTCAACCACAGTCATTTCAAATATCCCCTCAGTGATCAATATTCCTTTATCATCTAACTTATACTTGATAAATGTTTCTCTGGCCAGCTAACACAGCTCTTTGGTTTCTTAAAAAGCAAGTTACCTGTTCATTGCAAATAGGACTCCACAACTCCTCCATTTCAACTATATTTCATAGATATTCAAAATCCTTTTTCCTTAACTATACAATGGTTTGATCATAGGGAGACCGAAACAGACTACAATAGTAACTTCAGGAAAATCTCCAGTCTCCTTCATTCACACATTTCTACTAATGTCTGTAAGAGTAGGGGCATGGAAATTCCCATATGCTTCACAATAAAACGATGAATCTTTTATCATACCAGGTGTCTCTACCAACTAAGTCCCTGATTCGCAAAGGAGACTGAGTAGTGGGTTGTAGCACAGCACTGTAAGGTGAATCAGAATTGAATATATAGGTCTGCCATACACCTACAGAACAAAAGACATTGGTTACAATCACTGTGCACTTATTGCCTTTGATCACTGGTGAATGACGTAAAAATATCTTTGACAAATATTGTGTGCAGATACATTTTCAATGTTTGTATGAACAAATACTACCAAGTCAGAGCTATAATGAGATGCAACAGACAAGTAGTTAAACACTGTAAACAGTGTCTATATCCAAGAAAAAAAAAATCAAAATCTATTACTACTACTACTGCTACTACTCCATCTTTAAGGAGTGTTGATTTGTTTTTTTCTCAGCCTTAATTGGTTCATGGATCAAAATATTACAAGGTACTGCAGGTACAGTGTAAATCTGATAGAGGGAATATCTCTCAGATCCAAACCGAATCAGAGGAATTGACACAATTGGAAGAAAAACCCACAAAAAATTCATTTTCATGACAAAAAAAAAACGCATACCAAACTCATCCTGAAAGCAATGCATAGCTCCTGGTGAGGTATCATCATGTGAAGATGCTACATGAGTTGAAGCACTACCCCCACCACCACCACCACTGTCAACGGCTTGAAGAAGCATATCAGCCAGCACTCCAGATTCATTGTGTCTACGACGTCTAATACCACCTGTTTCAGCTCTCCTCCTTCTCTGTAAGCTTGTTCTCCTTCTGCGAGCTAAAGAGGAGGAGCGCCTTGCTAATATGAGGTCTGAGCTTTCTCTTCCTGATCCTTCAGGTTCCCCTATGCTTCCTGTCTGTGCAACAGTGGAAGCAGTGTCTTTGTTCATCGTAACAACACTAACACTATCTATTGATTCCGGTTGTGAGCTTGTTGAAGGATTATGAAATCTTCCAGAGTCTTGCAATGACAAAGTGTCCAAATTTGAAGGAGATGCTCCCACCCGCCTGTCATCTTCTCTTTCTCCAGCCTCTTCTGTTTCTCGTACAATGTCTGATATTGACCTCATTCTTGGGCCTACAGATTTATCACTTTGTGATTCATGGCGAGATAGACTTGCACCTTCGTACTCTGATCCAGACCTACTTTCAATTCCTGATTGGGTACCAAGTCTGGACCCAAATGATGCCCCAACATTTATGTCCCCTGAACTTGCCTGCTGTCTGGGAGAGCTGTGGCCTTCTAGGACTGACACAAGGGCCTGATATATGTTCCTTGGACTATTTGCACCATTGACATTAGAGCCCTCACTTTTGGTTTGCAAAAGAAGGCCACGATTGGCTTCTTCAGTGGATTTCCATATGTCTGACACAACTAGACCAGGAACAGATCGTGACTCCATGTGGCTGTCCAAGATAGGTAAGGGGAGTGTGGAAAGGTCACTTAGGGTATCTAAAAATATATAACATACATTATCATTTCTGTCACTGAGTTGGTGTCTGGAGTTAAAAGATGTGTTTAAGGGGACAAAATCTCATCGGCAGGATTAACAATTTCCCCATGGTTCACTGCACTATAGGTGAATCATTGTTTTGCCTGATGATACAGCAGATTGATGCAAATCTTGTAATGGTTAACATACTGAGCACTGAATCAAAAGGTACAGGTTCACACCCTCAGAAGAGTTGAAAATTCCTGTATTTGGTTTCGTGACAAGACATCTACACACATAGCTCTTGCAGTGTACATCTCACTAAAGAGTACAAATTAGAGAAACCAGACAAAAATTCTGTGGAAACCCCCGAATCAAATTAAATATGTTACCTTTGCTGTCTGATTCCAAGTCTGTCTGCTCTTGACTTGTGTGATGTTCACTCTCCCCACCCACCGCTCCCTCCAAGGTATCATCAGTTTCCATAGTGGACTCGTAGTCTAAAAAATAAAAGCAGTTAGCGTAATTATCATTATACATTTACAGGATTATGTGCAACAATCACAACAGATTGATACTGATGAGAATTTTTTGACTTGTAAAATTAACATAACACCCTACAAATATTGTTTTGGAATACTTGAGGAGAAATTGTCTTTTCTCTTTTTTAGTAATGTAGGGTGAGTCAATCAAATACAGTCAATCATTTGCTGACAGAACTCAATGTAGACAGAAACTTTCAGGAACTGGATGCAAATTCAGCATCTTAGCCACATACAACTCATCTTTTTTATTATCTGGTTATTAGTAAAAACATCTCCAGAGATGGGATCTCTTCCATGGCTGAAACTGTGCCTGAACCAAAACATGCCTGAGTGGAAACCTTGCCCTTTTGAGGCAGACACCTCATATAAGCAAACACCTCTCTTGTAACAACACATCTACTTGAAAGACACCTCGGCTAGATAGCCACCTCTTCCAGACAGACAACTCTACATAAACATCTCCTCCGCAAGCAACTAGGTACATCATTTTTAAACACCTTTCTTATAAAGACTCATTGCCACAGAGCTTCTCAGTAGACATCTCATTTAAACTGAGCCTCTCAAGCTGTATTTCCAAACTCTGGAAAATGGTACCACAAAAAAACAAAAAAACCTATTCCTTGGAAGAAATGAAATAGTCACACAGTTAAGTTCTTACCATTGGCATGTTCAGGGATTGTCTCACAAGAATCTATCTGACCACTTGGACTAAGAAGAAAACAAAATATACTCTAGAACCATTAGCTGTACAAAATGGACCATACTGGTGTAACAGATCACAACTGAAAATAACTAAAAAGCATTCCAAGTGGAAGCCTAGAAAGTGAATCTTTAAGGGAAAATGAGTATTATTAGCTAAACACACACAAACACACACACCAAAAGTGCATGGACCTGGTTCATGAACAAAACATTACAAACTGAAATGTGAGAGTCATGCTGCTGCACATGCTAGTGGTACAGTAATTTATGTATGTTGCTCCTTGACTTACCTCTGTCTAATACTGTTTTCTAATCTGTCTGTTTTCTCTAATTCATCAGCAAAGCTTATCTATGGAGAACCAATAATTACCAGTCATACATGTTTTAGATAAATCATCAATTACAGAGCAATAACTCAATGCAGTTTATAAACAATTGTCTCCTTAAGCTAATCAAATCCAAATTTGGAGCAACAGTTTTATGTCACTGAATAGTTTACAAGGTTTGTGATATTGGCTTAAAATGTAAAAACTCACCAGAATGACTTTAACAGAGAAAAAGAAATAACAGTGAATAGAGCAGCAGAGAAACTTTTTTTAAAAAAAGGTGGAGGTTTCTATAAGTGCACAATTCTTACTGTGCATGTTCTCAAAAGGCATATTTGGCTTAAGGAGACTGCAGGCCATGATCAGTTCACAGGTTCAACTAAATGAAATAATTTTTATAACTAAGACACATTAGATTTAGTACCGAGAGAATGTGTTATGAATAAACTGGTGCAAACAGCTAGCCTTCTTCACTAACCTTGTTTGTAATAAAACAAGAGTATCATTACGCATTTAACAATCTGAAAGGATTAGTTATTAAAATAAACTATTACAATATTATAATTGTACCTCTCTCTCCTTGATTCTGCTATTCCGACAAGAAACAACAACTGTGTCTCCATCTTCACCACCATCATCTAAATCTGTGGAAAAGTACAATTCATGGTTGAGCTTTTCTTAATCATGTAGCATTCTGTTACATGTTACAAACTATCATTTCCTTAAGCACAGAAATCCAAATGTTTCATAATTTATTGAAACAAGCACTTTGAATCATGTGGAGTGAATGAACGAAATGTCAGTGTCTAAAAGAAAAAGCTCTACAATTTTACTGCTTTCAAGTTCCCTTCCATGACAGTTCAATACATAATTTCAATTTGTAAAGAGTCTAATTATAATAAAGTATACATCAAAATGTATTGCATTTCACAGTTTGTTGCTTGATGGCCCTCAAACTTTATTTCAAGTAATTCAGCTGATCAAGCTTAATGTCCCAGTAGTTTAACCCTTAATACCCTAACATCAGTATACATTTTCTCAATACTGATCTCTATTCAATTCCTGAGGTGCTGTTAAGGAGAATTTGTTTAACAATCAAGAGCTTCTTTAGTTTGTGATCATTTCCTTAATTCTAGTAAACTCAATGTGTAATTCTGGGCAGGTATGGTGAGGAGACATTTGTTCCTAGTCACTCTTACAGGCTGGGTTAACAGAATCACAGCTGAATTTGGCAAAAATGTTCCAAATAATTTATACTTAATTTTCCTGTGATATACGTACCATAACATTCTACTTTATTTATTCCTTGTTCTTCACTTCCCTATTGAAAAAATCAAGTAAACAATATGAACAATCATGAAAAAAAAGGAAATGTTTAACTATGCATAGCCGGCAAACAGTATTTTCCTTATTTTTTTTAATTCCATAATAATTATAATATTTTGTATGGAAAGAAATGCATACAAAAGGCTCACAAGTGATTATGTTAAGATTTTTCACCACTTCACTGAAATAAAAAAAAAAAAATTACAGCATACAATAAAGCTAAAGTCTGACTTTAAAATCAAATTGTTATTAACTTTCTACCCTTCCTGAATCCAGATCTTTTAAGCTGGAATTCTGCTGCACATGCAACAGATTTTCTAGATGCAGAAAATGTCAGTTTAAATGTTAAGTAATTTTAGACAAGCTCCTCAGAGCCTTGGGCAAGCTACCATAAAAGACAATTCATGTGCCACAAACTGCCATATGTTGTTTAGAAGGATTAGGGAGATTCAAGTGTCTAGTGACTGGTTTAACAAGAGATCCATAAAGATCACTGATCACTTTACGTTTACCTCTGCCAATGTCATTTACGGCATAACTTACACTTATTGCAATAAGTTATACATTGGTGAAAGAGGAAGACAACTAGGTGACCGATTCTGAGAACACCTTCATGACGTGGAAAGAAATGACAAGGAAGCATTCAACATATGGCATTCTGCAGCCTTTCCTTATATCTAGGCAGTTCTGAAAGTCACAAAACACTAGAACAAAAATTTATCTTCCAAATCAACACTCTTAATCCCTACAGTGTCAACTAGTGCCTTTCATTCAACTAATTTATTTTTGTTTTCTCGTCACCATACTGCCACCAATAGCATAGCTCCACATAAACCCACAGACAACCCACAATTCTTCCACTCACACTGACAAAGGGCTAATGCTCAAAACATCAGCTTTTTTACTCTTTACAGAGGCTCTTTACATTTTCTACTCAGTTGTTAACACTAAATTACCTGCTTTACTCTCCCACCCATGCAGCACCACAGTTTCTTTAGGAACTTACCCCCTTAATTCATGTGGAAGATTAGTTTATTTAATTGCTTTGGTTTTACCTCTGAAATTACAAATGCCAGAGCAATTGTAATCTAGGCATGGCCTAGCCGTAGTGTTGCCTTTTTTCAGAGATATACACAAAAGAATAAGAGGTTTTGTGCCATAAAGGACAGTCAGTCAATGTTCAAATAGTGTCTCTGTGCAGTGTACACGAAGTTTGTACACGTATTTCGCATGAGGTTTCCTTTTGAACACCTTTCTTAATTCCCTTATCTCTCTGTAGTATAGTTGTTTAGATAATAATAGAGATGCAAGTGTTCTGACTGGTCAATGATTGTATCATACCTTGCTATAGTTTCACTCAAATGAAGTACACTATTGCAATTAAACAAGCCACAATTGGCTTCTTGTTAGACATTTAAGTCTATTTGACACTAGTCTTTCTTGCAAACAAGCATAGAAAGTAGGACTACAAAGTATCTCTTCTTAATCAGTTTTTCTGTGAGAAGTTGGACATCAATGAATGAAATAAAATTTACCTTTTTGGTCTGATAATTACCTGAACAATTGTACCAAAACAACTGTTTGCCACAGGCATAATGAATATTGTTGAATAGTGGATTATTCAACAATTAACAGTTAACTTAAACAAATCATTAAATACCACGGAACAGAAGCAATGCTCACTTGAGAAGCAAGAGGTGGAGACCTAATTCTTGATTTTAAAGAAGGAGGTTGAAATACAGCAATCTCACTGGTTTCACCACCATTCAGAGATGTTTCACTTTCCCAGTGGTCCCTCTCCTGTTCAACCAATCTCTGCATTTGTTCTTGTTTATCATCAACTTCATCAGGATCATTCTGTTCGAGCAAAATAACATTCAGGTGTTAGTTCATTTCACATTTATAAAACACACAGAGGTTTGTACTCACTCAAGCATACAAAATTCAGGGAATTTCCATAACCCTTCATGACTTAGTGTTTTCAATGGCTTACTATAAATTTAAGAATTTTGAGACTAATTTTGAGGTTTGTGTGCAGAGTAAAACAGTCACCAGTTGGGACAATGATCCTATTACCTGGACAAACTTTTCTACTGCAATTCAGTAGATAGGTGGCATAGAAAGGCATTTTGCATTTTCTCATTTAACATGGACTTAAAACCCCATTTTCCTGCTTTGTTCTTTAAAAAACCATTTCCCAATCAAACTCTTAGTTTCCTGTGGAAAATTGAGATTGTAACACCCCAGCATTTTCAGTTTGCACCACCCACACAAAATGTACTATCTGGTATCATGAAGGCACAATAAACTTAGCACAATGTGAACTCAGGAAACTTCGTTCAAAACTCAATAAGCCATGGTCACCTGTTCAACAATTTTTCTTTACTTTGTTTTCTACAATTTTAACTCCCAGAGGCAAACATGTCATGAGCATAGACACACCTAAAAGTTTGAAGGTGTTACCAGTGACTTGATAAAACACCAAATTCTCTTAATTACTTTGCAACAAAATACATTGCAAAGAGGGAGGAAGGAAGGGAGAATTACACATCAGATCATGAAAATAACTAGGTACATGTACACTGGAGGCATAATAAATGGCTCTGGCTTCCACAAGGCAAGAGAAAAGAGATAAGGATAACAAGGCTGTCTAAGATAACACAAATAATGCAGAGTGTAAGAATTCCCTCAATCATGTTTTACAAAAAGTACATGCTGCTTCGAGAAATGGTTTTAGAGGGGCTCCCACCATAAATTATCATCAGTAGCTGTTCCAACATTTGGCAAGTACTGCAAATTATGGATGTGCACAATAAGATCCCTTTCAAGAGCAGTCATGAATATCAAAGAAGGCAATTACCAAGTTCCGACATTTGATGATTAAAGTCATACATAATGAAGTAAATCATTCCACACAGAGAGATTAGACTCACAAGTGAAGAAGGGAATGCATGTAAGGGGCTAGTAACCCACATGATGAAGTTGAATTATTTTTGTTGCTGTTAGTGTTTTTTGTTTTTTTGTGTGTTCCATTTTGGTCTTTTTCTCTTTTCCTTCCTCTTGCTTTCCAGGTAAGGTTTAAAGTTACTAGTCAAAAAATAGTCTGAGGATGGACTCAAAATTTGTAAGTGAAGCAAAGTCCTCTTAAAGAAGAGAGTGGGGTTCAATAAACCTTGATAGCTGATAAGCTGTCATGTTCTAGTGGAGGCTGATTACATTACAAAAGATGCAAGCAGAGAGGCAAAAAAAATACATTAGCCTTAAAAAAAATAAAAAGATAAGCGGTTGTTTTTTCTATCTTGAAATGTGTGAACATGATTAATTTACCAGGTAAAGAATATTTCACAAACACCACACAGAAAATTGCTTGTGGCTGTGTGCACAAAAAAATGAAATGGCTTTCAGGAGTTGTTATGAAAAGATCTGGTAAATATTATAGTTAACAAGCATATGAGTTGGACCTGGTGAGGTTTTGTAGCAGTTGCGACTGACGATGCGTTTAGAAGCAGAGAAGTAGAAGAAGGAGGTAGCTGTGGAGGTAAGCCTGAAGGACAACTTGTCGACTGCGCTACATTTTCGGCCCCGGGTTCGTTGGCAACTTCCTCCGAACAACGGTTTATCACCTCCAGTTCAATAACTTCCCCTCCATGTTCCACAGTGCTGCTTCTAACCTCCGCTCTTGAATTCTCGTCTCTGTCGCCTCCCGATTCTCCACTTCGTACTTCTTCCTGTTGTTCACTTTCTGTGCGTATTTCCTCCCCATCGAACATCAAGTGTAGTCGGTAATTCAGACATTTTATCGCCAAGAAAATGACTGCAATAACGATGGAATACAGAATCCAGACCAAAATCGAAGGTGCTGTGCCCTGCAATAACGAAAGAAAACCTTTATCAAAATCGCAACAAAATAATCTATATGAAGAAACAATCGATAAACTTTGAGCTAGAAATCTGCAGAAACCTGCAGAAATCTACAGTATCGGAGTTTTCGTCAACTTTTGATATCTCTATCGTTCATTTCTTAACTTGTTTTTGAAAAAAAATAAGGAGTGTTAAAAAAAAAGAATTTCTATAGAAATGATTTATCTCACCAGATAAAGAGAAAACGGTAGGCAAAGTAACAACATCCATAGATAAAAATGAAAAGTGTTAGTGAATATTTCTTGATGAGGGTCAAAGAACCAACCGCCAGTGAGTGAGGCCCAAACTCCCTGCCTTAGAATTTCTAACGTCTGCGATCCCATTCTATACTACCTCATGTACTTCCAGGGATCTATTATGATAAGCATCGTAAGGTTACCACGACAGTAAAACGATTTTACTGCCCGATACAATTTGGGCCTCCATGTTTTCCCTTATGGAACGGGAAATATAAGCGCCTGCAAAACAAACTAGTCAGCCGTGTCATTTTGAAGGACGCTACAATGTGATGTACATGCCATGTTATATGCAGAAAATAATAAATCAAGATGGCTGCCTGCTAAATGATTTGTAGTGTACTATGTTTCGGTGAATGTTTGCCACCCGTTCCCCACCGAAGATGATAAATGAAGGGGATTATGTGATTTTAAAGAAGGAGAATGTCATAAAAGCTGTGAGAATTCGTAAGGGAAGGTAGGGATGTCAAAGATGATAATCTAACTTCATCCAAAACCATTGTTGAAGCACGTGGAAACAAAACCTTTCACTTTCTACTCATTGATCGGCAATTGAGTTGACTATCCAAGTTTTAAAACCTAGATCTCGTAGACCTTTTCTTCTGAGCTATTCACTCACAAAAATGAACTCATCATCGTTAAACGATAAAACGTGTGTTCCGCTGTAAAGAATTGACACTTCTGGTTCAAATTCCCCTCTTCCGGGAAGGAAAGGTTAAAATTACCCACCCTTCGGGCACAGATGACAGTCAAATGCCCCTTTAGCTTTAGTTTGATCAGTGCCACACTATTGATTCTGAAATGTGCAGTTTGAATCTTGATGATACCTGCACAGCTACACTCTGCAGAATGGCTAACACTTACATGTATTATTGCAACAAAATCATCAAAATTTAGCATGAAAGAGTAATCAGTTTATTGACTCTCATACAAGTACTACTTATATACATTAAAGAAATTGCCTTAGGTTTTCTTCATACTGCTCTTTTTCCTCAACTAGCATACAGTATGTTCTTTTCTTTATCTCAATTTAATCAGATGATGCAAAACAATAACAACTAAAATAGTTTTTGTTTGTACTCTCTGTTGCCTGATTAACTTATTGCAAAAAATATGAAAATAAAGTAAGATTAATGGCTACCTGGAATAATAGGGGATGCCAGTTGGCATTAGCATCAAATGAAAATAAATTACAGGTCAGCAAGATAGCACAAATTCACTCATAAAAAAGAAAGCAAGAGAAGTGGAAAACAACATTACCATGTTAATAGGGCTGGAAGGGTCAAATAATTCAATTTATGAAATATTTATACAAGAAAAGCACGCAGTTCATAGCTCTGAGAGATTATCACATATAATAACATAATATACATATTATATAAATTGTAAAAGAAAATAAATTATATTAAGGCTTAAAAAAGTTTAAAGAAAGTGACAGAATACTTTTTACACAACTGTTTTTGTGTGTGTTATCATATAACAATGCAGTTCATGCGAAGATATTGAGGAAAAGAGAGCTCTAAGGAGCATAGAGCTTTGATTTGAAGTCTTCCCAAGTCTTGTAATTAGATTTAATAATTCAGAAAAGAAGCGTTGTTTGCTTAGTACATGTTGAAACAAAAAGTATAATGGTGTGTTTTTTATGTAGAAATATCTTTATGAGTTGTTTTAAGTATAAAAACATATATCAGCTTTTATTACACCCATTTTGAAATCACTGGTGGTCCCTGTAATCTGATTGGCTCTAAGTGATGCAATTTATTCACAAATTGCACCATTTTTTCCTTTAAATCGCATCTTTTTCCCAGCCAATGAGGAAACATGAGGCTACACTAAAAACAAAAGAGCCAATCAGATTTGAAGGCTTGTTCAAAGTAACCGATCAAATTGCAGAAAAATGAAAGACAAAGAGTATCATGTGACAAATTTTGCAACTTTTGTTGACAGTTTGCCAACTCTTACTTTTTCCACCCCAAAAAATGGATGAATTTAATTTCAGAACAGTTTGGTACTGCATCAATAAAATATTTGAACCGACCAAGTCCTGTATTTAGGCGATTTCAAAATGGATGTAATAAAGTGGTAATTGAACCTCATGTTGTGCAATTTTGGTCTGAGATCATACTTGTGATTTCAAATTGAACTTGCGCTGGGCGCTCATTCGATTTTGAGATCACACATATGATTTTAGCCCAAATTGCACTCCACTCTGTTCAATTACCATTATTAATGG